AAAAAAAAAAAAAAAAAAAAAAAAAAATCACAACAAAACTAAATTCAAACAAAATAAACCAAAAAGCCACTCTACTCTGATTATTTGTTTTTGACTTAGAAGGGCAAAGTATATTTAAATTAAAAAAAAACAAAAACTCCATAACTAACTCATCTTAGGCGACATACAAACTCTATGTTATGCCTACTATCTGCTAGGGTTTGCTCCATGAGTAGATTTCTATTCTTTTTAATATTCTTTCGTCAGCTGACCTGAATAATGTGTGTACTCATGGAATTTAAAGTATGTGATAATTTGGAACTTGGCTTGAAGGTAGTGGAAACTACCTAAGAGAGTAAGGAAATAAATGTTTTTCTTTACTCATATAAGATTTGATATTGATAACACAAAATTGCCTAACTATTCAGGGTTTCAAGTCCTGTGACAGAGCACAGAGGTAGAACAGTCTTCCTCATTTATGAGTATAAGATGTGCAAGAGTGGTGAGCATATCAGGAAGCTGGAACTCCCAATCGTAATACCGAAAGACTAGACTGGAGACGTGAAAGGTAAAAGACGCTCGCGTGAACATACACTAGAATAGCTTCTACTCTGAGGGGTCGACGTGTGTACCGGGTGAGGTCGTGAAAATACGGATAGGCACAGTTATTGTATATGAAATAATTATATAGGAAATGTTTATCATTCTACCTATGACTTTGGGGGTGTGATAGCCTGGAAATTCTCTGCAGAGGAGATTTGACTAGCACATAACTAGGAACAAAACTCTCTGATGTATTTAACGTCTTGTGATATTGGCATTTCCTCTGGGTGATTGCTTTACCTAGCGTGTTTGTGAGGGAGGGCACCTGTGCATCCTTTTTCGAGGTAGGAGTTGTTTCTCTAGCCACTGAGAAAGTAGTCATCGGAGAAAAGTCAGTGATTGGCCTCTTGGAAAAACCTCCTCAGTTCCAGAGAGCCACCTTGGCCAAGGTCAAACACTGGCTGGAACAGCCAACATCCAGTGACTGACTGAGGCAGAGCGGAAAGACCTCCCCTTGAAGCCCAAGAAGGGTGACCAAGGGAACCATTTTATTACAGAGCTCCTGCTGGGACAGGCAAGCTGTGGTCCAGCCTCTATTACAGACCAGTGTCTCCCATGTTCAGTCTTCTTTCTCACCTCCCCCTAGGAGCTGATGACAAGCAGATTCCCTAGTAAATATCCTGCATGCCTAGCTCCACCGGGCGTCAGAGTCCCAAGCTATGGCAGTGGTAGGTCTTCGCCTGACTTAGTCACTGTTTTGAAAAAATGTTTTGTAACACGGAAGAAACAACTCACTCAAATACCATTTATTATTGACATTTGGTTTTATTCTGGAAAGGATCTAAATTGGCTTCCAAAGAACTCTTCAGGGTACCAAGACCGAAGAAACAGAGGCAAAAGGCAACTAAGGCAAGAGAAGGGAGCAGTCAGAGGTGAAGCTAAATCATAAAATCCCCATCATGATTTCTGTATACTTTCACAACTTCTCAAAATGTTTAGTGCCAATATTCCTAGCAGCCAGTACAGGGAAGCAGAGGCTCAATGATTCACTTCATGGTCCATAACGTCCCGTACCCTGATCTTACTCAGACTGAAGAAGCCTTTCTGCGGTGACTCAGCTGAGAGAGGCACTGAGAGGTGAGCGGAATGTCACAGGGGAACCGTCGCGGGACACCCAGCTCTCTTTCACACTTTCTCTGTAACCTAACGTGCAAGGAGAAAATCATTTCAATAGAAATTGAAGAGAATGCCAGCTGAGTAGCACAAAGATAGTTTCATTTTAACATTAGCTGAATCTAGCAATGCATTTAAAGTCCATACTTGATACAAACCTCCACCAATATAATTTTGCTCAATGTCTTTAATTTTGAGGTTTCAAGTACATGTACAGTAAAATTATACTTACCAGTGAGATCAGAAGCACAATTTTAAAACCAGCATCTTAATTTACTGTTAACATCTTCCTGACGGACACTAAGACCTGGACAAGTTGCTCAGCTGAACCCAGGAGAACACACTTCCATTCCAGGTTCAGCTGGTGCAAACACATGACATCTCAGGACATAGGTCTGCTTTCCCCAAAAGCCCCACAGGGGAAGAATGCTGTAATGGTCGAAAAAGCATGTCAAGTACCATGTATGCTGGAAAATTCAAGTCATTGTTCTGCAACAGTGAACATTTCAAAATGCTCACGAAGCGACAAAATGAAACCGAAGAAAAATTATCAACACTGAGAAA